ATCAGTTATGGTTGCAAATACTCAGAAATCAGAAGTTATTAGAAATGACATACGAGTCATTCTTATCACCTGTGAAGAATACACCAAGGGAAATCGTGCCTGTACTTGCATCCGGTGTGAATGGCAGCTTTTTTACTGCTCATTGCCCATTTTCCTGGGTCATCAAGCAGTTTGTGGAAGAGAAATGGGAGGAAGCACAAAACATGAAAGGTTAATTTAAAAGTCATTATTATTTGGTTTTCATCTAAGTATGTTTAATATCGTTAGCACATGGTCGTCTGGGAAAGTATGTGAGAAGCTTGGTTGTTGCAGCAAAAACAAATTTACTTATTTATAATTGGTAATCTTAATTTATATAATATGACCAATGTCTTTTGCCTTTTTCAGCTTCCACTGGACAGCATAATATTGAAGTGACTTTTACTGACTTGCTCATGGAAGCAGAACTTGGCCAAACGATGTTAAATAATCTATTGGATTCTGACTTTAATGAATTCATGAATTCCTATCTACATGATTTTGTCAGGATGGTGTATAAAGCAAGCAATGATCATGAATATGAGGTATGTGTGCTGTGATTCACATTCATATTATATAATGTTTCTATACTGCCATTAGAAATGCTTGTGGTGTAAACACTGAAGATTCACTTGCTTGGGCAAAAAAGTTTACCAGTACCTGTCATAGAAACTTACATATTTGCCAGTCTCGTGGTCATGTAGGTGCTGTGCATCAAGTAGCTGATTCCAGGTTAATAGCCTAGTGAGTCAGAATTTTTTTTTTTTTTAACTTGTTTCATCTCAAATAAATTCTCTCATTAGGTGGTATGCAGAGCAATACATATCGCTTCAATTGAATATCACCAAGTGGAAGGTTTCGAAGAATTCTTGTTTGCAGTTCCCCAAGTACACATGTCATACCATCGTATTCGTGGCCGACTGGACAGCTTTTTTCAGATTGCACATTTTCTGCCCAGTGATATCCGAGAGAGAATTCCAGCTGAACAAGAAAACCAAGTGGTCAGTATTTTCACTGACTTTTATTGTAATAGCATTTCAATGGGTATAGCACAACCCTGTGTTAAAATATAGTACAATGTTATTATTCTCTGTTCAGACGAAGTCCGAAAACGGGGACTTATAATTCAGTCTCTGTCCATGCATCTGTGCGTCCGTCCTGAGTCATATCTCAGAATCCCTTGGACCGGTTCCTTTCATTCTTTGCATGTGCCTAGTACTTTATGTGGGACATATGCACATGCAGTGGTTTAGCGATTCGATTCAAAATGGCCGACTGGCAGCCATCTTTTTTTTGAAAATGTTGTATTTTGAACATGCTTTGTCAGTTTTCATTCAAACTTGGTACATAGATTATAGGATACATGTCCATGACGATTTATTTCGCAATTGGATCAAAGATGGTCGACTGGCAGGCATCTTGTTTTTGTATTTTTTATGCGGCATCTTGGATGTGCTCTGTCAGTTTTCATTCAAATTTGGCACATACATGTACTTTATACGTGTTAGGATGCATGTCCATGACAATTTGTTTCAAAATCTGGTCAAAGATGGCCGATTGACAGCCATCTGACTTTTTGGCCTTACTACTATATTTCCATAATTTATGTACTATTTTTATTCGTATTTGGCACATACATCATACATATCAGTGTGTTTCATAATCAGATCAAAGATGGCCGAGCAAACGGCTGTTTTTATTTTTGGCCATATTACTACTACATGGAACACATGTTTTGATGTAAATAAACAGTCTGTTGTATACGCCACTTGGAACTCAAGTTTCGAGGACACGCTCGTGACAACCCCTCCACTTTAATATGACGAGCACAAAGAGAACTTTCAAAAATTTAACAGGGACTGTGTCATTTTCAATGACTTGTTTCTATTAATCCCAGATTTGGTAAAATATTTTTGTTCCTGTAACCAGCATTATTTTCCTCTGACAGTGTAATGATTGAGATATATGCCAATATAAGTTTCAAACCTGTTTATATATTAGCTTTTATAAATATTTATAAATATGGGCCCTCAGCTTTCACTTAAATGAAGGTAATTGTGATTTGCTCAACAGCTCAACATTGTCTACACACATACTGTGAGCGCATAAATAAATGTGATGTAGTATCTGTAACTGGCCACTTATTCAAATTAAAGTGTCTGTTGATTGGATGACATTGAACTATGTCATTAATATTAACTTACACTCGCTATGTCACAATACGATTGCTTAATTGGAATTCCAGTTGCCGTTTTGAATTTGTATATTTATAAAAATATTTAAAACACACTGTTTTTTTTACTCTGCACTGTATTGATTTATTCTGAATTAAACAGAAAATAATGAAGTTTTTTTTAATAATTAATTGTTAATAAACTGTAAATAATTTACATATACCAGCAAAATTTATTCTGTGACACTGAATTAGATTTGTTATGTCATTTTAAGGTAGTGGATGCTCTGGCGTTGATAGCGTTGATGGAAAGTCTTGAGCCAAAGAAAGATGAGTTAAATGACAATGCTAATAGAGAGCGATGGTTGAGAAGAGTAAAAGATGCTGGTCCAGTGGTTGAAAGAGTCTTAGATGCTGAGATTCAAGACACCATTTTCTATGGTGAGATTAGCAGAACACATATTCAACATTGCAGGTAGGAATATGTTGACAATCTGATCAATCATTATTATTATTATTATTAAATCTTTATTGCAGAATATAAAGTAGAAAAGTTAGCATATCCCATATTAAGAAATAAAAGCATATACAAAACAAACAAACTAAAAGAGAAAAACAAATATGAAAAGAATTGAATTATAGTTGTCCCATTGGACTTTGGTATTTAACAGTGCAGGTACACATATGTAGTCCCATTGTACTAAGTGACAATCATTATAGGAAATAAACAGTTTTTAGCTCCGCTGTCGACTTTGTCGAGCGGAGCTTATCATATGAGTGATTGTCCGTCGTCGTCGTCCGTCGTCGTCCGTGTCAATGTTTTACTTTTTCGACTTCTTCTTGAAAACTACAAGCCTGAATGCTTTGATACTTGGTGTATATGTACCTTGGGTAGACCTCTCTTAGGTTTGTTCATTTCATGTTGAT